CTTCCAATTGGGTTAGTCTGTGTTTGTATCAAGTATTTGAGAGTGTGTTGAGCCATCAGACAAGTGGACAATGTGTGAATTTTATGTAGTGAAATACAAGTAGTGTGCAAAGGTATGTTAGGGTGGGGATTACATGGTTGGAATGGTAGGCAAGGAAAATGGTTCACCCACTTGTTTTCAGTAGAGGGTAGGAGTGGTACGATATGGAAGGTACAAGGACTGAGACTGGTGAAGATAAGGTGCTCTGGAGAGCTCGGATAGACTGGCGGATCTGAGGGATGCTCTTGTTCCTTTCACCACATGGTAACTTGGACACACCTTGGACAGCTGTTTTGAGAAATCTTTTCACAAGGAGGGTGGTCAAACATTGGAAGAGATGCCCAGGGACTCTTTGTCCTTGGAGGTATAAAAAACTTAACTAATGTGACCCTGAACAACCTGCTCTAACTTTGAAGTAGGATCAAATGTTGGAATTGGCCCAGGTTGGAGGTGGTGGGTTTTTGTACTCAAGGACATCCAGAGGTCCTGTCCAACCTAAGTTTTTCGGTGATTCCATCCCCAAGGTGAAGGTAAAGGAGCAATCAAAGTGAAACTGCGGGTTTCAGTCCAGTGTGAAAGGGATATGGGGGTAGAGGGAAGTGTTGGGGGTAGCAAAGAGAAACTTGGAAGCAGTTTTTGGGAGTGTGGTTGAGCAGCTGCCTTCAGATATGTGAAGTTCAAGGTAGCTGCAAGGCATGCAAAAGCAAATGTCAGAAGGAAGGAAATAAATGGTGGCTGGAGAACAAAAATATGCATTGCCTTGAAAAACTAGACTTTATCCCTAACTGATTGCAGCAGCTGGGGTATGTTTCTTGGCTACACTGCTGGGATTTTTAGCCTCCCCATCACTTTGCAAGATAAAATTCATATTAGGGGAGGAGAAATGCAGAATAATCTGTCTAAGAAAAAGCTGAACATTTATAGCTACATATCAAACAAAAACAAATGTGTCTCATATGTCTCACCGGTCTGAGATGGGACAAGCCAGGGAAAGCATCTGTCAGCCGCTGTCTTCTGCAGTTCTGACTGTTAATGTTTGCTTAGCATTAAATGTCTCCTGCAGAGAAGAACTTAATCTGTCACAAATTTGGGGCCTGGAGGGAGGGAGAGGAGATATTTTTAAAAGGTAGATTAAGACATGCGTTCAGTTTTTATCACACTTGCATCAGCGTCTAGTAGGAGTAACTTTGAAAATTTGCCTTTTGCGTGTATGGCTTAAAAAAAAGTGGAAGGAAAAAGTGGCTCTGTGGGTCAGGACTGTCCTTTTATGTCTGTTATTTTCTCCATGCAGCCTGTCATCAGGGACTTCAGGTTCCTTCATCTAATTAGTAAGGCAGCAGTTGGCACAAAAGGGTTTCACAATTACGTTATTTGTAATTAACATTTTTTGCATTTTGCTTGCATTGTTTGTAAATAGTGTTAGTTGCATACTCGTCAAAGTCTAGAGCACTACTGCGTATATGAACTAGATGGTAATAGATCTCATGTGTGCTGGAGTGCTCGAGCTCTGACATGAAACGGTTTTAAGTGCTACATAAGAGGTCAGATCAGGCTTTTGGTTGATTTGCCCTGTTTTAGTCAGCACAATCACAAGATCCAAATGGTGATCTTGCACGTGCTGTTTGGGAATCTGGGTACCCAGCAGAAACTGGAAAGGGTGTCTTATGCTGGTCTGTGCGGGTCTCTCCAAGATCCAAGTTCCAGCACTGAAACTGTCCTTCAGAGCTCCTGTTTCTCAGATCAGGTCAGTGGGTTAGCATTTTTTGGAAGTTGGCATTGAGCCCTTATGGTGTGGAAGCCCTAACATGCTCTGTTCTTGGGTTTGCTGGCCCAGACCTCGTACTGTTGCCACTGACTTCCATTTGCGCATCCTGAGTTGAAGGACTTTGGGATCTGTAAGCCCCGCTGGGTGTGTTTCTGGCTTGAGGCACAGCACAGTTAGTAGGGTTGCACTTAGTTGTTTGCTGTGTGAAGCGTTGTGGGTTTAGAAATTGCAAATCTGAGCCCAGCGCAATGTGTTGCCCAGGCGAACAAGTAGTCCTCGCTTGTCAAAGCTGAGCACCCACATGTTCATGCTGCTCCCAGGTTGCTGTGACCACGTGGCCTGGACACTGACATTTTCAGGACCTGATTGCTCAACAAATTTAGTCTCCCTTCCCTGCTCACGCCTAGAAAACATTTTAATATACTGAGTGGATGCATGGGCAGGAGCAATGCAAGGCATTGTAGCGTAGGTTTGTCTTTGAAAAAGAAAAGGAGGCCTGCACTCAGCTCATGTAAATCAGAGTGGTTCCAATGGAGCCTCCTCGTCTTGCAGAGGAAGCAGACCCAGACATGGAAAGTAAAGTAAGGTGGGAATGTGATTTATCAACCCTACAAAGCAGCAAGACAACGTTAGACTCAGAGGCTGCTGTTTCTTGGACCACAGGCAATGTTTTTCATGTGGGTGCCTCTGCAGCGAGATGAAGTGGCACAATATGACTGAACCGGTTTGCTTTCTCTTCCTTTTTTGCCTAAGGCTACTGTGATATGGATCATATGGGTGGGTGCTCAAGGCACCAGGACTTACAAGTTTCTCGGATAACTTTCAGACTTTGGCTAATATGCTGAGATTTAGCCATCCTTTGTTTCATTGGAGCATAACTTTTTCGTCTGGTGATGGGAACATCTGGATGCCACTAATTGTGGGGCTCTTGAAGTTCCAGTATCCTATCCATTTGTCTGTATTTTCATATCCCTCCCTATATAGTGTCCAAGCTCATGGGTTGGTGGAGCTGAAGGTTCACCTCTCCCATGAAGCTGAAGAATTCCCTCCCCAGCTCCTTACCCTTCTGGACTTCAAGATCTCCTTTCTCTGTGAGATTTGCAGGCATGGCTTTAAACACTGTCAGGAAGCTGTGAGCATCTCCTCCAGGCCCCATGTCAGAGCTCTGTGCCCCACTCCATCTCCTGCAGTCGCAGTCTTGGCTTTGAGTCTCTCTGGGCAGGAGAGTTGTGTATCACAGGTATAAGAAAATAAACTTTGTCAAGAAAAATATTGCCCTCGTTCTCGGGTTCAGATTCAGGTTTGTGTTTCTTCAGAAGCAAGGTGGACTGTGAGGCTGGCTTTGTGGATCTTCTCAGGATTCCTCCAGCGAACGGCAGTACCCAGCCCGCAGAGGCGTGCTGCTGCTCTGCCCCAGGCATGCGGAGATGCCGAGGGAAAGCAGCTACACGTCAGCCTGAGCTTCTGTGTCCCACCATTTGTGTCCCTGCCTGCTTTGCCACAAGGAAGGAACTCATTTGTTTTTCAAACCAAGTCAAAGAAGTGCAGCAAACGCACACCGTATGATAAAAATCTGGCTGGGAGCTCTGCCTGCCATGGGTTTTCTCAGCTCAGTGAAAGAAAGAGTTTTATTTCTGGCCTGGTGAAAAGTGTGGATAATTTCTGTTTTTTTCTTTTGAAATGTTGAATGTACTTTGCTAGCATAGCATATCATTGGATGCAGGTCTATTTAGGGAATGGCATTTGCGGTGGAAAAAGGCCTCTTCTCCCTGGTAACGGACGATAGGACAAGGGGAAATGGTCTGAAGTTGCGCCAGGGCAGGTTTAGGTTAGACATTAGGAAAAATTTCTTCACAGAAAGGGTTGTCAGGCACTGGAATGGGCTGCCCAGGGAGGTGGTCGAGTCTCCATCCCTGGAGGTATTTAAAAGACGGGTAGATGAGGTGGTTAGGGACATGGTTTAGTGGTGGGATGGCAGGGTTAGGTTAATGATTGGACTTGATGATCTTAAAGGTCTTTTCCAACCTAAACGATTCTATGATTCTATGATTCTGTGAAAGAGATGGGTTAAGAAGCACATGGGCTTTGGGAAGGCTCCTCTAGGGAGCTAAGCAAACTTGTGCCTCTGTGTTTGCATATGTATGCATCCATCTGTGCATGGTGCCATGGCTGCATTAGTTTCTGTTTCAGTGAGGGTTTTGCTATTTTATGTATTTGTCAGTCCCTCTAGGGTACTTGGTGATATAATTGCATATTGGGAGACACAGTCACTTCATTAAACAGCAAGCAGAAACTTTCTTCCAATGTAGCCTCACCTGTTCAGGATTTATAGCTGCTCTTCCAATAGGAGCACTGTCCTAAGCAGTTTGTTGTCTAATTCAGACAGAGAGTTTCAAAACTGGTTAAGATTCTGTAACATTTTTGCCTGGTCTTAAAAGCTTACTAACGTTGATGCATGGGCTCTGCCTGCAAAAGGCCTGTGCAGGGTGGGGTGTGGAGCACCAGGACTTTGCTGGCACCGTGACATTTCACATGGCATGGCCAGCGGGTGGTGTGCTCCAGGCTGAGTCCCGGCGTGAGGACAGCCTCTGCAGGCCCTCCCAGTGTCCACATGCTGCACTTATTCCCTGCCTAGCTCCTCCACATGCCTGCAAGTTTCCCTGAAAATGCTATCCGTGTTTGTGTGGCGTTCATTCTGTAGAGCAAGCCTGTACGGAGCCAGCTGTCCCAAATGCTTGTGAGTCTTTTGAGAGGGCACAGCTTCTTCTGGCTCCGGTGTTGATAGGACCTTGTTTGGCGTGAAGTAGGCAGTTAGATTCAGTGTTTCTTAGACTTGACAGGCTTTAGGGACTGGGGAAAAAAAACCCTTCATGTGCAGTGTGATATTTTTTTCCCCAGCATCTCACTCTGCAAGCAAAGCTGGAGCTTTGCTCTCCTGCAACCTTCCTCTTCACATCTGCGTTCACCTTTAGACCTGGAAAAATGCAAAGGGACTTAGCAGCGATCATTATCTCTTACTAGCCTGTGCTCTGTTGCCTTGTTCAGGTAAGAAATGAGTGCTTCTGTATAATGAACTCCACAGGATCTTGGGGGAAATACAAATGGAGATAGGATTGTGTCACTCCAATAAAAAATGTGTGTGCTGAGGAAGTGCTGGTGTTTTGCAGGAAGAATCGGATCGAGGAGCCTGAAGACCATGGAGGGGGACTGTCTGAGCTGCATGAAGTATCTGATGTTTCTTTTCAATTTCTTTATATTTGTAAGTATTTAGAATCCACTTTCTCTCCTGAATTCTCCTACTTCCAGCAGCCTGCTGCTCCCCAGCAGGATAGGCTGCTGTGATTCGGGGAAGTTGACATGGTACAGATACCCCCTCAGCTTTGCACTAATAATCACCGAGTGTTTTGCAGCATCCAAAGATGCTCAGACATTCAGCAAGCCAGCACAGTGGTCACTGTTGTTTGAGTTATTCCTGTCCTTGGCCAGGGAGGCCAGAGGGAAAGCTGTAACTGGTGGTGTACATGGTCTATCCTTGAATGGCAGAAGAAATTGTTTTCTAGTCCCGGGTGCCCTGCTGAGATTTTCGCTAGGAAATACAGTCATTTTCCTACTGTATGTAGAGTCATTCTCAGTGACCCTGTTGCTCTCTCCTGTCTTTGACAGGAAGGGTGGGAGCACCCAGCCACCCTCACCTCTCTGGCGGGCATGGTTCATGTGTGCCCCTTCACTGGGCAGTCCCCCACAGATGTGGCAGCAGCTCGAGACTCGGTCTTTCAGCATTAGGGGGGTGGTAAACAGTTGGTAGAGTGACGTGTCAAGGAAGAAAGGTGTTTTTGCAGCAAATTTTTTTGCTGCAAGCATTTTGCTCTCTACAAGTAGAGGTGGGTGTTGGTCTCTTCTCCCAGGTAACAGGCAATAGGACGAGAGGAAACGGCCTCAAGTTGCACCAGGGGAGGTTTAGATTGGACATTAGGAAAAATTTCTTTGCTGAAAGGGTTATCAGGCACTGGAACAGGCTGCCCAGGGAAGGGGTCAAGTCACCATCCCTGGAGGTATTTAAGAGACAGGTGAGTAAGGTGCTTAGAGGCATGGTTTAGTAGTGGACAGGTACAGTTGGGCTTGATGATCTTAAAGGTCTTTTCCAACCAAATGATTCTATGATTCTATGAAACAGTTCATTTAATGAGCAAGAGATACTAAGAGTGGCGTGTCAGCAGTCACCTGCTCGGTGGAGAATATATGCCATGGAGAAACACAAACTCTTCAAATGAACACCTTTGATCAAAAGATAGCAATGAATCCACTTTTTCTGCAGCAGTTGTTTTATGCTGACCTCTCTTCCTCTCTTTCCTCTCCTCATGCCGTGACAGCTGGGAGGAGCGTGCCTGCTGGGAGTTGGGATCTGGGTCATCGTGGATCCCACAGGTTTTCGAGAGATAGTGGCTGCCAACCCTCTGCTCTTCACGGGAGCGTACATCATGCTGGCTATGGGAGCGATGCTCTTTCTGCTGGGTTTCCTTGGCTGCTGCGGTGCCATCCGTGAGAACAAATGCCTCCTGCTTTTTGTAAGTGTCCTTGCTTTTTGTAAGTGTCCTTGCATTTTCTGTTGGCCTTTTGGTGCTTGCCAAGAATGGGGGTGACTAGATAGATGATGCTGTGATAAGTGCATGAATTGCTATTGTAGCCATTATTCCCTTAGATAACAAATAGGCTTAGGGTACTTTTACACACAGCTAGAAATACAGAAAAATTGCTTTTTTCCCTATAGCAGATTTGAGCCCAGTGAGTATGGAGTCTGGGAGTGTATTTTGACCTTGTTAAATTTCGTTTCAAAATGGTCCTATTTGGTTGTGTGGGTTTTTTCTTTTTTACTTTCATAAAGTGACCTGAAAGGGTCCTCCCTTGGGCACCCAAACCCCACTGCTCCACTCGTGGATTCATTCCTCAGTGGTTCACAACAACGCAGAGGGAACACGCAGGGTGAAGCATCCGTCTAACAGAGCCCCCCATGCCAGCAGAAATGCCCAGCTCAGAGCTGCGTGGTGGCCTGTCGCTGCGGCTCTCGAGAGCTGGCCGCTCCCTTATGCAGCCTACTCTGCTCCTAAAATGAACCAGTTTTGTTATCTTGGGGCAAATTTTCCCCTGAATGATAGGGTTAAATTTCAGCCCGTGTGGTCATCGAGTCCTGTTTGCAAAGAGCTAGCCTCTAAAGTAAGTCGCTTTTGAGCTCTACCGTAAGTTCTGATACTTCAGGGTTTCCAGCCATTATCTCTTACTGGAAGGCATTACCAGTTATGTATTGAAAGACAAAGATCATCAGTTTTTATTTTTCATTTTTGTCAAATGTGACCTTTTGTTTCTCCCTCTGGGTCAGTTGGGTTTTTTGTTTTGTTTTGCTTTTTTAAAATCTTGATCTTACAGTGTTTTGTTATGGTTGTATCTTGCACAGCTGCTTCATGGTGCAAAAGAGGCTTGTTTCTAACGTTAAACACAACAGCAAAGTCCTCTTTCTTGAATGCAAAAGCATTTTTTCCTAGATATGAGCATGGCTTCACTGAGATAAATTCTCTCCAGCTCTTGGCTCACCCACACCTTGCATTCATAACCTGCAGATGAGAGCCCTTTTCTGGAAGCCATTGTGGGTTTGATTTCTAGTGACTCATCTCAGAAGTAAATCAGAAAACCAGATATATCACCTGTGAAGTCATGGAGATCTGCCCAGAGGAACCTAACAAAATGCAAGGGATCAGGCCCAATGAGCCTGAGGTTATTCAAAGCCTGTCCCTGTCAAATTAAGAAACTGAAAGTTATGTTTGATGAGAAATATTGATTGTAAGTGAATGGGAGAGTAATATTTTCAGTTTGGACCATGTCCACTGCACACAGATTGGGGACGTGGCTGGAGGGAGCTCTGCCCTGATTTAACATCACAGAGTTACAGCATGGTTTGAACGGTCCTCCTGGTGTTTTAGTTATACACCAGTGCACTCAGTTTTGTGGTTGTCACTTTTCTGACTCTTAGAGATAGTTCTGAGCCCTGCTGCTTTATTTATTTACTTTTATGATTATTTTATTTTGTACTTGAAATGTGAGAAATACATGGGCTGGAAGTAATGCCCTAGACTAGAAGAAACTCTAAAAGTAATTACTGGGTGAGGAATTAGTGTTCCACTTCAGTCAGGTCTTCCAGGGTTTCTGGTATCAAAGTCAACTCTGTTAAACAACCTGCCATCTCACATCCAACAGCAGGGAAGCACTTGGACAAGGATCTGTGCTGATACCAGAGATATGTTCCTAATTTCTGCTTTTTTGGGGGGCCACAACACTTGATCTTAAAATGCATAAAATATCTGTGAAACCAGAAGTCTGATGGGAGTAAGTTTTAGGCATTGAAAAGGTAAAGCATTCGTGAGCGTATGCCACAAAGACTGGGAACACATTGCGAAGAGTGGAGAGTGTTAGGCTTCGGGGGGGTAGTACTTGGGGAGAAGTTGCAAGATCAAATCAAGTCCACTTATAAAGTTGTTAAAGAATTGATGAGCCAGAGAGCTGCTTGAGTGAGGTTTCACAGCGATGCATAATGTATATCTGAAGAAGCTTTCAGTCCAAATGTAAACGGAAGATAGAAGGGACAAGACAGATGCAAAAATGCATGTTCTCTGGGTTCTGGCTTCTGTGTTTGCAAGGACTTCTATTTTTCATTAAGCTGCTTGTCTTTTACTAAAAGAACATCACTGTGGAACCTAACACGTTGCATTAAGCATAAGGCTGTGGAGTGTTTCTAGATTCCCCAGCATCTGGACTTGGCTCACAAAAAGCAGCAAACGTTGGCCTGCAAATCAGATGTTGAATCACTTCTGCATTGTCCTGAAGACCTTCTGACTGCAAAAAGAACACCATAAAAATCAGCATCCAAAGTGCTGTTGAGCATACAACATTGCACCATGGGACTGAATTCAGCTTTGCCACAAGAACAGTCCATGTTAGCTTTATTCGGCTTAGTTTTGAGTGCAGGCATCCTATTTTGCACTCTTGCAAAATGGATGCAGCAGCCCCTGAAATTTTTCAGCACGAAAATGTGGGTCCGTTGTGTTAAAGGCAGTTGCTGCTCTTTTTTGAACAGCATTGCTGAAACTGGAACAGTAGATAAGTTGTGAAAAAGAAAGATGAAATGTTGATTTGTGGAAACTTCTGATAAACCTATAACCATCACCAGGAGCTCAGGCAGGATTTCTGACCAACATGCGAGACCCTGCTCCTCAGGATGTTCACCTTGGATGTGGGGGGTACCTGTGTTCACGTGTTGGGTTTCAAGCATGGATTTGAACATGAGGCTGCTGTGTCCTGTACATTACCCAGTTGGCTGTTTACTGCTCTCATATATCAGTAATCAATTTACATTTGGGAAGCAAAACATAATAAGCAGATTTTGACTCTCCTTAAAATGCAGAATGAGAGCAAGTTCTGAAACACTGATGATCCATCTTCTTTTTCTCATCAGCCCTAATGGCTGCTCGTGTTTTTTCTACAGTAACTGTTACAAATCTGTAATGCAGACTGCACAATGTAAGTGTAAATCAGTTTGGGAATGATAATGAAGCTTATCAGAGATAATCTGGGAATGGCTGCTTCCACTTCTGCACAGACCTGTGCTGGAGCTCGGGTGAACATGTGTCTCCCAGTAATCAGTAAATGAAATGCAATTAGCAGGGTGATGGGATTAATCACTTGATCACCACCTTAGACCTCTTAGTGACTATGCTGAGATCCCTTGATGGATGATGATGTGAATTCGCAAAGCATCGTTCATTCTCATCACTTGTTCTTTGCCCTCCTGCGGTGAAATTAAAAACAAAACAGCCTCTGAGCAGGAAAAAAAAGAAGCCACACAGAAAACTCCAGCAGTAAGAATAAATTATAGAGTTAACTAGTTCAGCAAAATCAAGCAACAGCATTCTGTTAGCATCCGAAGTCCCCGCTCATCTGACTCTTCTTGCTTTGTCGTTTGAGCCCAGGCTCCTTTTCTTTTCTTTTCACTGCAGAAACGGGAAGACAAATGGGATGGGGTGGTGCATGCGCTTTTCCAGCGGGGAAAAATCACTTTCAGCTCTGATAATTGGCAACAAGTGACATTTTTCCCATTCCAAGCAGGTAGTTTGAATTCTCTCTCCATTACCGAAATGCATGGTGCGCAGCATTTCAGACACTGTTTATAAATCATTGCTCGGGGATCACAATAATACTTCTGGACCCATCTGCCTGCCTTCTGTTTCAGAAAGACCTTCAATAACCTTCTCACACAAAAACCCCATCCAGACTTCTCTTGTGGCTATCTCTACTTGTTGCTCCAACCACCTTCACTGGTAACATGTACCACATGTTTATTACCCTCCATGTGATGTGGTCTTACTGGGCTCTCCATTCACTCCTGTTTTTCTCATGTGGTGCCAAAATCTGAGTTAATTTCTAAACGTTCGCTCAGTTTTGTAAAATCATCTTTGGGTCTGTGGGCTAATTCCTGTGATCCTTGAATTTTAGAAGGGCTGACTCTCAAATGGTGATTTCTCTTTATGGCAATAAGAATGTAAAAAATGTCTGTCTAGTTCAGACTTATGGTTCCTCAAGCCCACAAGTTTGTCTCCAAGAATGGAAATAAAGGTGATTTTGGGAGAGTGTGTGAGCCTAGCCACTTTCTGCTCCATACTTGTTCCTCAGCACCAACATTTGTTGTTTTAAGGATGTTAGAGGGCACATCCCTGCCTGTTCCTTTTACTGTTTGTGATGGACTGAAGCAGCATCAAACTAGCACAAGGCATCGATGTAACTGAGAATTGGTCCCAAAGACAGGCTGAGTCCGGACCTCTGTGATGGCAGAGCCCGCAGGAGTCCCAGCACTCATCCCGGGTGGGAGATGCTCCAGGCTACCCGAGCGCTCTGGGCAGACAAGGTCCCGGGGCCGGCACCCTCGCAGCAAGGCATCAGTCTCCCTGGGGATGAGACCTCTTCCGTGGGGTGGGTGGTGAAGGCACGGTGAATGGCTCAGGCTTGGTAACATCACAGAAACAAAGTGCCTTTAGTGAGACTGAAGACCAGGCTTTTCGACCAAAGCAGCAGAAGGTTGCAAGGGCAACAGGATGAAAATACAGTTTCAGCTTAAATTGAACAACCACATGCCTCTCTGTTTGCTTTCATTTCTCTTCCGCAGAATTATGATGACATAAATGTAACAGTTTTATTTCAAACTGGATACCTGCTTCTGTTTTGCTACCACTCAATCTGCTGGCTATTGCTTTCTGTCAAGTCTGCAGTGTGCCCTTAATTCAAGGATACGAGTATGCAGGCTTTGGATACTGTACAAGACATGGCTGATACTTGCATAATGAAATTAAAATTATGGTGGTGTGTTATCAACTGTCTGTAGAGGTTCTGCATGGTTAACGCTTAACTCAGTGCAGCCCCATTGTGTGGAGGGGGATATGAACCAAGGCTAATTTTGTCCTGAAATGTAGAATACTCTGAAAAGAGTCCGTTTTTGGTCATAGGTGTAAATACTTGAGTATATGTCCCGCTACCTCCTTTCATACAAAATGAGCCATGATCATATTACAGTGAAATTGTTTATGTTGTTTATGTTGTGATGAGGGGTGTGCGTGCATATGTAGGTGTATGCATGTGATGCATACACCTGTGTCAGGACAGTTTAACCCTGTGTGAGCATCTACACAATCCTATAACTTCTTCCATCAAAGTAGGCTTTACTGTTTTAAGCTGGTGCAGATTTATCAGAGAATGCTACAGGTCCTGTAGCCTTGTTCCCCTTTACCTGTTAGAACCAGGCAAAAGCATCACAAGCTCCCATGTGCTGTGATGTGGTCAGAGAGGGGCTGTGTCTGCTCCAGGTTACTGCCTCATAGGGTTTTTTTTAATTATCAGGGGAAAAAAGTTTCCTCAGTTATTTTTTCCATCTCTTTGGTGACTAGGAAAACTATGTGTTCCTACTACCTACTGCACGCACCTAATGGTATGTCTGTGGTTTGTTTTTTATCTTCTCTCTTCCAGTTCTTCATGTTTATTTTGTTAATCTTCTTGGCGGAGCTTTCAGCTGCAATCCTGGCTTTTATCTTCAGAGAAAACGTAAGTATCCGATGGTGGGCAAACTTGGAACCCCAGTGGGACTGTACCCCCTGGAGCATGGTGTTAGATGGTGGCTGATGCCTTTGTAGAACAACTGTTTGTTTCAAATACCAACCAACCTGCTTCATTCCTACCCTCAGTCTGCGGAACTGCCGGCAAGCCAGTGAATGCTAACTAACCTGGTGTGTTCAGGGCGGATGGTTTACGTACACAGGAGGTGTACACTGAGGGACTACTTAAATCCTCAAGTTTTTAGAGTCTTCCTGATTCTTTTGCAGCCAAACCAGCTGCACATTCCATCGGAGCGAACTTCGTTATAATGAAGTCACACTAAGGTTAAAAGCAACTCTTCTCTTTCTCCAGTACAGCATGTGTTTAATATTAATATTAATAGTGAAACCTCCTGTTTTCCCAACAGAGCCAAGGCTTGCTCTGCAGTGCAAAACCTCTCTTGTGCATCTTCTAATCATATTCCTTCTTGAATTTTCATGTTCTGCTGCTCACCAGATTTCTCTTAATGCTGCTTGTAAGATACCCCTCCTGACCTGCCCTGAGCAAGGCTCCCCATGTCCCATTTTGAGTCCCATCGGTGGACCCCTTGCATATTGACCTGCTCACAAGTTTCAGGTCCTTCTCTCCACAGCTTCATATGATGTAGCCTTTCTCTACTCTGCTGCTATGCCTGTTACTATATGGCCATCATCACCCCACCGTGCCAGTAGTAAGCTTTTACTACACGCGTAGTAAGCATGGTCTCATTTGTTTCTCTAACCAGCGAAGGTTTGTGCATTTTTTTCATGTTCCCACATGTGCAAAGAAGAGCCTCACTGAACTAGGTCCATCCTTCTCAAGCCAGGCCAGCATTTGAACCCCTCTGAGCAATGGCTGTGAAGAAGCATTGGCCAGTAGATGTGGTCACTAGTGACTGTTAGTATTTATTTGGCCTCTGCCAGTAGTAAGAGAACATACAGCACATTCCCCCTACTGAACGTGAGAGAAATGTGGCATGAGCATAGAAGGGCAATGTATAATGATGATTTTCTCGAGCCAGGACATGCTTTCATAAGCAAACAATAAAGACTTAGGAAGCTCACAGCAAGGCAGTGCAGTGTTTGTGCAGTAGGATGGTCTTGCGGGGAGGCAGTGAGAGGATTTTTTTTTCCCTTTATAAGCTGGTGGTCTTTGCCTCAGACCTGGAGGCACCGGGGAAGGGACGGCACTCTGTACACAGAGCGGGTGCCCCGTTCCAGCGTAGATTTTGAGACCATGCCCTCATGGGAACAGCTACCACTCCATAAATAGCTTGCAGCACGGGGGGTCTGGTGTGTTCTGGCCATTACAGCTCTGCTCTCAGGAGTTTTTAGAGAATTCCTTTGGTTCAGACCGCACACGTAGAAGCTGCCCCACAGAGCCAGGTACAGGCTTCACGGCAGAGAGAGAACACAGCCCCCGGTGAGCTGGGGCTGGGCGAGCAGCCGGCAGCTGACTGCTCCCGCCTCCCCAGTAGGGAACTGGTGGAAGGTACAAGAAACCAGCTGGGCTCACTGCGGGTCCTGCGTGTGGGGTGACTGTAGGCAGGGCTGGCTGTTCCCTTCTTCCCTCAGTCGCGAGGGGCCAGCCTGAGCCTTGCTTACGGGCAAAGCATCAGCACCTTTCGCTCCCGTGGGAGCCGTGGGGCACGTGAGGATGTGTTACCTCGGAACATAAGGTCGCGGTGGTTATTCTAGGCTCCTGTGGCATCTTGCGGTGTTTTGTGAGATAAAACTTGAAGGCGAACAAACTTTTTATCTTTCTTGAGCTTGTCTCCGTGTTTGTATCACCAGCTTCCCACTCTGTCAGAATGACTGACAGGAAGGGCTTAAATGGGAAGGAATGAAGAATGTCACATCCCAGCATAGCTGGAGATGGCTCTATGCAGAAGTTAAACTCGGTCTGCGAATTCTTGTCGTTTGCTCTCTCCTCAGGTTTCTTCTAAAAAAAAAACAAAACCAAACCCCTTGTTTTTGCTGTTGCTATATGTTTTGGTGGTAGCTCCTCTGGTTTGGTAACTACTTGTGGCTAATTTTGCTGTCATCTTTGAGTTAGGGTGAGGCTGGATGGCTGGGCAGGATGTCTGTGGGGACAGAGGTGGTCTTTCAGTGACCCCATGGTGGGAAGAATCCTTCACAGAAGCAATTTAAGGTCAGGCTCAGATGTGCTTTCCCCTTCCCTGCAAAATGAGTTACTTTCAAGGTGTGTGGTCATAAATGCACATTTAGGCAACCTAAATTTCTTGGAAGCTTCCCAAGTGGGTTCCCGTGATGGTCATTGCACCAGCCCATATGGCTGTGGCCTCACTGGGTGCATAAAATGAGAAAGATACACTCTATCTGTTCGCTTTCCAGATAAGGTTCAGTGCAGCTTTCTCTTGTATAGTGCTTTACATCTGAACTAGCTCCCAAACACTCAGCGGAGTTAAATTATTAATAGCTGAGGGAGTGAAAGAAATTAAGAGACAAAAGTAAGGGAGAAAAGAGATGTTTTCTGCTGAGATTTGACATGAGTGGAAGCGTCAGTGAAGCAGGGTGTAGTGGGGGGGGTCAGTGAAAGTGGTACTAGAGCTGCTGTGACCTGCAAGCCTGGTTGCACTCCCAAAAAACTGTTTAAAAGCAGACTCTGAAGAGGAATGCTGTTCATCAGCTATGGGACTACCAGAGTTTCTCTTCCTTTGTAAAGGAGGTTTGGGAGGGTGGAGAACTCTTCATCATCTAGAAGACTCCCCATAAAATAAGATCTTCCATGAACAATAGGGAGAGGCTGTGAAAGAGCATTTTGACTTATGGACAGGAATTGCGCATTATAGGCCCTTCAGAGGTATGGATGGGAAAAACCCTGGAGGGATGTTTGACTCTTTTTCTTTGTGAATTGTCTTGGCAAGCAGGAAAGCGGGATGGTAGGAACAGATGAGTCCCGTGGCAGAGCTCAGGAGGGAGTCAGGATGTTTGGATATTTAGCCCCTGTTCTGGCTCTTAATAGGCAAGTCTCTTTGGTTCCTGATATCTCTGTTTCCTCAGGCATAAGGCAAAAAACAAAGAACATGAACCGTCCATCCCTCAGTTGGGCAGCCAGAGGTCTCTGGGGTGGAAGGCACTGTGGAAGTGGGAAGTGCAGCACTGGTGACCGTACCTGCAGGACAAGCACTGTGCCCTGTCAGAAACATTAGGGTGCTCCCAGCATATGCAGATAGGCAGGAGCGTGTCCTGTTTTCCAAGCAGGCACAAGGAAGCCAGCTTCTCGCACAGCATTCAGTATTCTCGAACGCGGTGCTGCACGATAAGGCTGTGACCTTCCTGGCCGGTGCCGGCCCTTTTTTTTTTTTCATAAATACCCTTCATCTGGCTGCAGTAATCCCAGCCAAGCTATTTTTTGAACCAGTCAGTCAAAACAGCCCCACTTCACTCACTGGTGTGTAAATGTACGCGTGCGTGGGCTGCTTCTGTGTTGGTGACGTTGCCCCCAGGACAGCTAGAAAAACCCCACAGCTGAAGGGCCCCGTGTTGTTCATGCCTGTGGCTGACACCAGGGTGTCGTCAGAAGTGTGTGTGAAGGGCTAGTTTTATTAGCAGCTCCTTTTCTCCCTTCTGACTAGTTCCTGCTATAGAACTCCAACGTGCCGAGACCTCATCGGTGCCGTTAGTAGCTCCAGCGAGAGGGGGGCCGTCAGCGTGTGAGCAGGACTGTCTTGCTGACTTTTATCCTCCTTTGTCAGCAATTTTTTAAAAGAAGAAAGATGCTTCTGCTGATCAATCTTCTTTTTATTTTTTTTTTAATTTTTTTTTTCACATTTTCCTGAACTTCAGATTCTCAGGACAAGCAGTTTAAGAGCAACAAAATGGAATCAGTTATTTTCCTGGCAAACTTAGCCTTTCAGCACTAGGCTTTATTTTAGGCCAAGGCTCGTAAAAATCGCACACAAACTCTGTACAATTTCCTCTGGGGTTGCTGCTGTCAAAATAAAGGTTTCACTTTATATTTAAATGACTCTTTTGTTTTAGACCCCGCCAAAGGCAGCCGGCTGGGATTATTACCAACGGTAATATCGGTTTCAAAGTCCGCACTTCAGAAACAGCCAAGCATCAAAAAAATGTGCTGCTGTCTCTGCAGGGTAGGATGCTGCATGGATAAAGTACACAGAGAAAGGGAAGGAAAGGAGAACACTGAGGACATGTTTCAGCATCTTCTAACCTGACCTTCCCTTGGTGTACCAAATTCCCAAAGGAAAATGCCAGTCCTCTCTGATCCTCCGGTATTTTAATATTCAAAATCAAAAAATGAGTTAATCTCTGTCTCATAAAAGTGATTTAGGAACTTGGCAGCGTATCTCATTAAAAGGTAGTGAGACTGAGCTACTTACATCATTCAAGTCTTTCTGACAAAGTGTTACCCAGCATTGATTTAGTCATTCAATTTGGCCTCCGTTTGTATTTGTAAAAGAGAAGTCAATATTACGTGATATTTGGGGTCTTTTCAAGACTCACCATGGCCTTCTCTTTTTTTCCTTGGATTTTCTCATAGAGTTACAAAGGAAACAAACAACTTTCTGCTTGTGCTTTTGTGCCTACGCGTACATCTCATACATATGTATGTGTATGTGCGATATTTCACGTTGCATATCAAGAACCTGAAACCAGCTCATAGCAGTATACATTACTGCATCTGCAGCGCTGTATGAACAACAGGAAAGAAAAAAAAAAGGGGGGGGGGGGGGGGGTTTTTTTTAATTTCTGATCCAGCAAATACGGAACATCAGAGCAGCGCTATATCCAGCCAAGTCCAACCCCCTCCACTGAGGCTTTGCAGAGAGATTTTGCCTGGGTGGATCACAAATCACGAGGTACTTTAGAGAAGGGACCACACAAGTCAAGACCTATTGGGAACATGAAAAGGGGATTCCTTGAAATTTTCATCCTGAAGTGACAGAAAGGTAGAAAGAATGAATTGGGAGTATTGGGTTCAAGAAGGCTTTTAAGTTCGTACATTTACTAGTCCTCCAGAGAGTGATCCTAAGTAAATGTGATTTCAAGGTGCCTAACTTTCTGAGGAGACTCTGAGCAGAAATGTTGGTTCAGTTTTTCTATTTTACTGTAAATGTAAACAGGAGTAAATGAAATTCCATTCATTTTTATTGTTGGCCTTAGGAAAAACTGTTTAAATTATTTAAACACTGGAAATATAAAGAGGATTTTTTTCTTCCTGTATGTGGGTTGGTTTAGATAATCTAAAGCATCGTCAGGGAAACAGTCTTTTTTTCTGATTTGTAAGTTGACTTGAACATTTCATATTCATTACATGTTTTTTACTTCCTTTCCATTCCAAGAAAGTTTGGTATTAGAGCTTGATTCTTCTTTCTCACACGTGGAAGTAAACTCAGAGCAGTTCTCCTGTCATTAGTAGGAAGTTAACTGGTGTAGAACGCTAAGTGGGGAGAAAACCATGCTTTGGTTGCAGACCTCATGAAGCGTAGTAAGTTGAGCTACGATCTGGGTGTGGATTTGAAGGTATTTCTAAAATCTGGTTTAGTCCTGTTTCAACTTATGAAAGACTTTCAAATGCCACTGAATATTCAAAAAAACAACCAACCTTTAAATGCAAACATTGCTTACAAGAATAGCTATAATTCAACCCCTGATTTTTAATGAGCAATGATTTTATTGAACAAGTACCATTCATCCTGGATATAGTTATGGTTCGGCCAATGACTTTCCCCATGTTTCTCCTCTGATGTTTGCAAAGAAAAGAACAAAACCAAGCCAACCAAACAACCCCCAGTGTTCACAAAAGAGAGCTTTGGGAAGCGCTTGGGAAAGAGGTGCTGGTGGTAACCTTTGCATTTCCACCTGTCTGTGCCTTTCAGCTGACCAGAGAGTTTTTCACCAAGGAGCTGAAGAAGCATTACCTGAAGAACAACGACACGGACGTCTTCTCTTCCACCTGGAACTCTGTTATGATCACAGTAAGTGGTGCCGTGCCCGTCCCACGCTGCCCGTGGTCAGCGGCCATCAACACGCCGCTCAGCCCGCGCCCTTGGCTTGCCTGGCATCAGCCTGCGACAACCATGCCGCCGCGCCAAGCGTAGCACCAGGGTTTGTGGCGGTGGTGGGAGGGAGATGGGAATTTGGCTGGCAGCCCGTCTTTCTCAAAGCAAGCTGCCATTGGTCCTGAGAAGAGATGCTTCTGGACTGTGTCAGGCTTTGTGGCTTACCAAAGCCTGAGGCGTTTGACCTGGCTGGGTACCCCCAGCGTCCAAAGAGTGGGCGCAGAAAGCCACGGAGCTCTCTGCAGCTGAGCAGCACTGCATTTACCTGGGCCCTTTCACCTTGGAGGATACTTCAATGCTGCTCCCAGCCAACAGCAGCCAAAACTGGTGCAAACCAGTGGGTTTTTTGTTTGCTCTTGTGAATTGAGTTGGTAAGTGGCAGATCAGGCAGGAGTATGCCTAATGGTGTATTTTCAGTATAGAAATATTAGCCATCAAAATTGACTTTGTTATTGCAGGCAGGTTACAGATCGACTGTGTCATTGGAATTGGAGTTGTTCTTAGCTACTGCAAGACGTTCTGTGCACATGTGTGCGTGTACACATCTGAAGTCAGTGCTCAGACAGCCCACAGTGTCTCTTCAGGAGCGAGGAGTAGGGTGTTGGGCTCCACAGATGAAAAGTCAATTTTAATCTTAAAAGAAAAAGATGATTGCTGCCCTTCATGCTGATTCAGGACTTTAATAAAGACATTTTCTTTTGCTGACTGAAAGGAGACAGAGTCGGAGTATGACCTGAATCCTTAAAAAGGACACCTGACTTGAATCCTAAGAAGGGACCTTACTCGAATCTCCTAGCAGTGCCTTTGAGCAGCAGCAATCCTGGCCATTAGCTGTGGGGAGAACGGGCAGTTGGGAGCCTGGATGGTGCTGCTGGCTCCCTTACAGACCTGCCGGGTGATCTCAAGCAAGTCATTCTGGATGTGCTCCAAAGGCCTGTGTAGTTCGTGGCAATATTCCCAGTGGTACCTTAGAGTCTACAGTACAACATGGGAACAGTGGGACTTTATAAAAAGGCTTTGATGAAACAGAAGCTCCAAGGTACAAGCACAACCCACTTCTTTGGAAACAGCAGTTGTTTTGTCTCTGCTTTGCTGAAAGCTTTGATCCCTACAAGAATAGGTCTTTGGTGGATTTCTCGTATCTGCTTTCAGGCCAAAGTGTCAACTCTGTCCTCCTTTCTTCTCTGCGTCTCTCCCTAGTTTGCCTGCTGCGGAGTGAACGGGCCAGAAGATTTTGAAGCTATCCCTCATTTTACATACTCCTCTTTGGAAAAGGCAACACCGGAGGCTTGTTGCCAGCGAGAGCTCCAGAGCCGGGAAGGGATGTTTGTCGACAAGGAAGCCTGCCTCGCAGGCATCGAGAGGTTTCAGAACCGGCAGGTAAGGGGAGCTGACCACCAGGAAAAGGAGTTTCACAGTGGGAAGCGAGGTGCCTGGGGTGGCCATGGGCAGCTAGCGAAGCTGGCAGGTCACACCACTCTGACGCACCCTAATTACACTTCTGCTGACAGCTTTTGAAGTCACGGCATATGTCTGATTTTGAAAATCCCCTTTTCGTTGTGTGCGCTGCTAAGTTCGTCTTGTGCTGTATCGGCAGAAACAGGAAGATTTTCCCAAGGGCTTGAGAGGTGGGGTGGAATTTTACATCAGGTTTTAGTGTGTTTCCGAAGGTTAGTACTACCTCGGAGAAGTTGATCAGCAAGCCAGCACAGGTCAGTGAGGATGGGATGGAGCTTGCTTTTAGCGGCTGCAGTAGCGGCTCCAATCTAGTTCACAGATGTATGCAACCAAAAGATTGAGGGTTAAACAGCCACAGGAAACCATGTCTGTTTTCCAAGGAAGAGAAGTGTTGGAAAGCTGCATTTCTCTGCTCTTTTACTCTTTACAGTAGAACAGGGGCATTTCTTTTGCCACGTCTCTCGACTTGGCAATTTTTCCCAATGCTTGACTGAAACAGGACAGTTCAGCATAGCGTCACTGATACTGATACTACGGTCGTGTTCCCTTACGTTGTCACCAAACTTCATGTTTAAGAAACTTCCTAGCAAAGTCCCTGACTGTGTTCCCCTCAGCCAGCTGAGCTCTGTACTGCCCGTATGTACAAGCCTCCTTTTCTCTCCAGGCTGAGCAGTGGTCCTCCTTGCCGCAGCTGACAGCAGATTGTGAAAGAGAGGAAAGGAGCTTGGAAGCAGCGTGCGAGCTGTTCCTTGCCTGGCAGCTGGAAATGGTTGGCAAAGGCGCTCTGGGAGAGAGATCACGGCAGACAGCACCGTATTGCTTCTGCCAGGTCTGATTGCTGTGAATAGATGGCAAAGAGGGAGAGGAGAAAGATGACAAAAAGCAGAGAGGGAAAGATTGAGAGAGAGGGTTAAAACAGGTTACAGATTCAGCTTCCCCTGAGTGGTGATGCCGAGGCCTACCGCTTTGATGGAAAGGGAAAGATTCCTGTGAGCCCTCGGCACCGCAGAGCGTTGGTGGAAGAAGCGGGGTGCACAGCAAGTGTCACCGTCAAGCACACCATGAGGCAATTCTGTAAAACGGGAGGGACACCCCCGAGCAACTGATGGCTGAATTCAGGCCTTCCTGGAGCAAAGTCAGGCTCTTGGGACCACACTGGAAGGACAGCGCTGGCCACACTTGCCACCATTGGTAGCCAGCTGAGCAGGGCATTGCTGGAAGTTGCGTTAAGGCTGGAGTTCTGGCAAGCGACCAAACATTTTGTTGCTGGGCTGGATGCTTTTCCCTGAAAACTGGGCTGAAACGTGGCTGGAACAGAGCTGCCGCTGAGCAGTATCATATTGACAAGAGCGTGGTTTGAGCAGCTCGGTTCCCGCCCCAGGGGTCTGCACGCCCCGGGTCTGCCTCGCGAGCGGGTCCCCTCCGGGCTGCCCCCTGCTCCCCTCTGACTGCCTCCCACCCGCAGCGAGCGGGGCCTGGCACGGACATCAGGGCGTAACCGTTCTGCCATCTCTGCAGCGCTGACATTTTCTGTTTGGGTGCAAGGGAAAAATCAGGTGATTGAAACAGCCCAGCAGTAAGGGTGGGATGAATCGTGCGTGTGTGACATAGATGCTCAGCGGGGAGGAGAGCTACTTTTCACATTGGACAAACTCCAATCTACTTTTCTCTTTCTGTGTGACCTATTTGGGGAAATTTGCTGGCAGGTTGGAATTTTAGGCTGGGAGAACTGTGAGGCCGGGATAAGCTGGTGATTTCCAGAAACCTTTGCAGAAGATCTATCTGCTGTTAATTGAGCAATAATAAACGGCGTTAAAGATGATGGTGGCTATGCTGCGTGAGTGCAAGCAGTGCTATCGTGCATGGCCCCAAGTTCTTAATAAAATTAAGTGGGTGTGAAGCACTCTCATACCACTCAGAGCAAAACCTTCCCCTCCCTGGCACTGTCCTGGGGGTCTCTGCCTCCTGTGCTGTGGGGCTGGGTGAGGGAGGCAAGAGGGAGCCGTGCCTGTGGTGCCTGGATCTGAGAGCACCTCTTGTACGAGCTGGGGCTGTGCCGTGAGAGCCACGCAACCTGCTGCTCAGGCATGTCTCACCCCGTTTTATCCTTCCTAGGGCTGCTACACTGTGATCCTGAACTCCTTTGAGACCTACGTGTACCTGGCAGGAGCCCTTGCCATTGGAGTGCTGGCCATTGAGGTACTTATGGGTGTGTGAGTAGAAGCAAAGCAAGCGTCGGTAGATGTCCAGCAGATGGGCAAGCAGGCAGGTCCTCCCCCTTGCTCCTGCAAAGCTGCGAGCAGGTTATCAGCTGCTGGTTTTAATTGCCTAGAGAGAGCCGGGTGCTCGGCCCTTTGCCACAAAAGGCAGGGAAATAACGGGCGCCGCACGCCTGCGGTGCCGCAAGCCTGCAGTGCCGCCTCGTGTCGGGCCCGCCACGGAGCCCGCACCCGGCCACGCTGCCCATGGGGGATGCGGGGACCCGCTGCCTGCCCCCACACCCCCCACAGCCTCTGCCCTCACTGGGGCAGCACCCCAGCAAGCTGACGGATTTGTCACTTGGTTAATGTGTTCAAGCTGTGCCTCTAAAAACTTAGGTTTAGAGCCTGAAACCGTATTGGCTCCAGAGCATCTCCGTTATCCAGCATTAGCGTCTGGCCCTTCGGTGATGTCTCTGAGGAACGGGCTTCCACCAGACACGACATTACCCCAGAAGTGGTGCCCCTGCAGCATTGCTGGGGCAAGGCTGGGCGCTTTCCCCAGCGCCCCGTCTTGTCCAAAGGAGAAGGAGCTGGGCAGAGCCCCCCGCCCCCACGAAGGCCCCGCTGCGCCTGCTCCGGGCCGTGGGAATGGTGTGCAGGGCAGGGATCGCGGAGCCGGCTCCCCTGCGACACCAAGGGCGGCTTGGGAATGAAGCCAGGCTGCTGCTGTAGCCACAAACCGTTTGGGGGACAGGGGAAGGAGGGGAGGCATCGCTGTCAGGAAGAAAAAGAATTTTTTTGCCACGGCCTCCCCTGGGCAGTGGGAAGGGTCCCCCTCGCTGCAGCACTGGCTGCGGGGGCAGGAGGGAGCGACGGGAGTGGTCAGGGCGCCAGGGAGGGCTTTGCAGATCTTCTGGAAGATGCAGCTGACTCTCGTGGTCCTCTGTTTTGTTTTTGGGATCCAGTAAGAGGTGGCCCATGAACCACCGCATTCCCCACGTACTCAGAAGAAAGAAGGAAAGTCAGAAGAAACAAAACCTGAAAACACCCAAAAAACTTTATTTTTTTTAACAAAATGGGGTAGGGGGGGGAAAGAAAAAGAAAGAGGGTTGTAATATATGAATGACCAAAAGGATTGTACTTCAGGGGCTGGAACTTTGAGGTGATGTGCACTACACTGTACACCAGATGCTTGCCCAGAGCCACCCGCAGCAGCCGTGGAGCCGGAGCCCAGCACAGCTCATTGCACTAGAGACCGACGGAGCCGGTGGGGGGCGCGGGAGGATCAGCGCGGCTGCCTCCCCAGCAAGGCCGTGCCTACCGTTTGCAACTTTTATCATGTTTTAGACAGCAAAGGACTGAAGAACAGCCACGCAGGGGCTGGATAAGGCAACAGGTTGGCCAAAGCCTGTGACTGTCCAGGTGGGTTTGAAACAAGCCGTGGTGGCTCATCTCTGATGTAGGTAGCCATCGTTCGTGCTATTCTGGCTTTAATGCCCAGCCACGGAATGAAAACACACATTCTTCAGTGGCAGCTTTGCCCCTGTCACCACCTGCAACTTGTCAGAGAAGTCAGGCACTTCAGTGAGGCCAGCTTTTCTCTGGAGCCCTAAGCAGGGGTGGGGTGGGCTCACTTAGCACTGGGACTCAGCTAAGGCTGGCTGATGGTCAAGAGTTTGGTGCCTACCTTTCTGGTTTTAGTAAGATTTACTGTTCCTTGTTGTGAAAAAGAGAGCAAATGGTTCCCTGCTGTGTTCCCACCTCCTGGGAAAAAATAATGGCTCTGGTCAAGAATCACTGATACTGCTGCCTTCCTGAGAAGGGGATGAAATAGTTGTTTAAATCTTGCTGGCCTTTGCCTTTCCCTTCACACTTGCAAAAAATGTTTTGTGGTGCTCTGTTAGCATATATATTTGCAGTGGATTCCTACATGCTTTCCAGCCCTAAGGGGAGTTCCAGGCATGGTGCTGGATGGAGAAGGCTGAGGTTTGTCAGCCCTTCCCATGCTGTTTGCCTGAAACAGTCTCATGGTGTCATTTCCGCCCCGAGGATTTCCCCCGAGATCCTCCCATGGGCTCATGACGAAAGCATCAAGTCGGAATTGTTTTAGTCTGCCTGCTAGTTGAGAGTGTTTCCTCCCTTGAGATAGTTTGACATTTAACTAACGATTCATCTGCTTAATCATTTGGAAGTGAACTTGAGAAAGGTGCCTGGGACTGGACCTTGGTCAGAAATTAAGATGGAACTGCTGAGGCCCCAGGCGGGCTCTTAAGAGTACCCAGCGTGCGGCCAAACTGCTCCAGCCGCTGCTCTGGCCTTCGTGGCTATCGACCTGGACAGGTCGCCGGTTTCTCTGCTCTGGAAGCCTCAACCCCTGTTGCCTTAATTGTTCATCTGGTCACTCCCTGACCCCAAACTCTTTGTGCTTGGGGGGGTTGGGGCGAGGACGGGGGATAGAAGGGGCTGTGGTTTCCTGTTTATCTTTGGTCTTTTTACAGATTTTATAGGCTCAGATTATGGAGCACTTTTATAGAGGCTTAAACCAGCCCCTCTGGAAGCTGTAACCACTGGCAAGGAAGGAGAGGGGGCAGAAGGCAGCGGTGAGGAGCTGAGCAGTAACCTTGTGCCCAGGTTTGGCAGCAGCAGGTACACTTTGCCTGGCTCTTCCCTTACACCACTGGGGCTGTGTCCCTCAGCTCTCCCAGAGGCACTGCACAGGCTCCAGGGAAGGAAGGAAAGCAGCAGGAAGACTGGTCCATAATAGACAATGATCCTGGCTAAATGTCCAGGTTGGGGAATTGGGATACTAAGGAATGGGAAGGAGGCATCAGAGCTTTTCCAAGCTTCATTTGAAAACAACAGTGTGCTCAGCAGCAGGAGATGGCCCGGGGAAGGTAGAGCTGCAGCCCCCCCCCGCCCCCCCTCCGTGCTGTGGTCAGCATATTCCAGCAACGGAATAGGAGGCCGGGGCTGCTGAGCGGCCTCAGATGTTGCATTAAACCCTGTGGAAAGCTTTTCTGAACTATTTCCCTCTGGGATATGCTTGCAATGAGGCATTTTAGCATTAAATTCTGGTCTGTTGTTTAATGAAGGAAAACAGTTTTGCTAGCCAAAAACCAGTAGTATTTGTACCGAACAGCAGGTGCTGTGCTTAAGATAGGAAAAAATCTGTTTCATCTCCTAGTCTTGCAGGGAACGGGCCGAGCAGAAGGCGAGCTTCTGTTCTGCTTCTGCCTCAGGAGCTGGCATCAGTGGCTGTGCTGGGAGAGCAATGCCCAGGGGAGGAACAAAACCGTGAGCAGAGATGGCAATGTGGCTGGAGGTGAGCAAGAGAAGCAGAGCTGCCTCCCCCAGTCTCCAATTTTTCCTTTCCCCTCAGGTTATTATGCAAAAGCCTGGCTGTCTCAGGTCAGAGCCTGGAAGGTGAATACCCTGATTTGTGCATGGTGGGTGGCTGAAGGGAAAAATAAAAGCCTTAAAGCCTTTTTCTGCCACCAGTGGCATGGGGGAAAACCTGTTGGTGCTGGGGGAACCAGACCAAAACAACCAGAGGGATAAATATACGCGCCTGAAGTAGGATCTGTGCAGGCTTATTTCTCCTTGGCTTTCCTAATTCTGTACTTATTGCTTTGTCTGGTTTTAGCTTTCTCACTTTCCCTCTTGCTCCCCAATGGTTGTCTCTGTTATCTTCCAGAAGAGCTGTTACTCGTTATTCTGGCTTTTGCACAGTTGTTTCTCATCTCTTACCTCGTTGGATCCCCCATTGCTCTTTTCTGAATGTCTTCAAATCCTCCTTGCAGCTGGCTAGCGTGCCACTGGGAAAGCAGCTTGACACCCCAGCAACACCCAGCCAGGCAGCGCCTCTTAAACAAGGACTGGAGATAGCTGTAAAGATCTGTGGAAGTCTGAGAGGACCTGTGGAAGTTGGTAACAGGCAAAAGGAATTTCCCCCAGGGGAATTTAATGAGCAAGCCAGCCCAGAAAGCAGACTCCCACTGTAGGGCAAAGCATGTGTATTTGTTGGTTTTGTCCCTTGGTTATGTGGCTGCCCCCTCTGTTGTACAGTAGTTTTCAGAACAGTAGGCAGGAGAAGCAACCGTATTTTTGTATTTGTTTCTAACAGCTCTGGTGAGTATTTTGGGGTCAGGGGCTCAAGCTGGATTCACGGCTTGCTGGAGAGCTCTGGGCGGGCTGGGGAGCAGAGGGAGCTGCCGTGCTGCCGCCTCCTTCGCTGTAGCACTGTGACCACAGCCCAAGCACCTTGGAGGGAAGTAGGAGAGAGCAGCCCGTGCCTGCGAGCCCCCAGCCCCTCACGGCACCCCTGCCTCCCAGCTGTTATTTAATGCTCAAATGACCGTCACGAATGCCTGGGAAAAGGGCTGCGTGTGAAATAATGTTTGAAATCTATTTTAAAAAACTGTAAATGTTCTTTTTATTAGATAGTGGAGCTAATTTATCCTGTATTCCCTACTGTAATGCTTTTTTATATTGAAAGGAAATTTTTTTTTTTTGTAATATAAACCAGAACACAAGCCTGAAGCACTCTCTGCACGGTTTTTGTGTGCGTTTCTTAAAAAAAAAAATAAAAAAAATAAAAGAAAGATATTGTGACAGTGAAGTGAAACAGCTTTAATTTTCACTATTCGCTTGGTGTTAAGTACAGTCACTCTCTTACCAGAGGAGAAAGAATAAACTCAGGTACAGTAGCTAAAATGAGGTATAAACTGAAGTGTCCCATTCCCCACCCCCCGCCCAAGTAAAAACCCTTGACCAGAAAGGCGAGGCCAGCTTAGGACAGACTGAGCCTCTCCTTTGTCACCAGCTCCAGTTTGCCAGATATTGGTTAGACATAAATAAGGCGCTGTAGGGAGTTAGATGAATGATGAGCTTGCTTCACCCTCAAAAGCGAGGGCTCTACCAACACCAGGGCTTGGGTCCATCTCTGGCAGAGAAAAGGGGGTCAGCCTTAGTCCCGGCCTGTGCCTGCTCCGAGCACAACCCTCTGGGGAACACGAC